GAAGAAGAAGAAGAAGAAGAAGAAGAAGAAGAAGAAGAAGAAGAAGAAGAAGAAGAAGAAGAAGAAGAAGAAGAAGAAGAAGAAAAATGAGTTGAGACAGGCGTCTAGGGTGTGGAAGGAGAAGCTCAGATCTCAGGAACCGGGTTGTGTTCGGCTCCAAGGCTCCGGTGGGGCCAGGGCAGGCAGAGCGGGACCAGGGCATCTCCCGGACTCGGGCTCCGTGGCAAGTGAGAGGCAAAGCTGGCCGAAGGCAGGAGTTGAATGGGGGCAGGCCGTTTTGCTGCCCTTCTAGCTTTTGAGTTCCTCCCTCAGCATGCAGGTTTCCACAGCAAGGAGAACAACGTGGGGTCTCCCCGAGGCTCAGAGCTTGCACAGCTGTCTTGCACAAAGCAGGACAGGCTGCAGCAGTACTTGCCTCCCTCCGAACAAGGAAGGTGATTCCTTATTGTGTCTCTGTGGTACGATTGGTTAGCACGTTTAGCTGTTAACCATAAGGTTGGTGGTTTGAGACCACCCTGGGGTGAGTGAAGAAGCTGAGGGTAGTGGAGTCCTTGGCTTAAATTAAGTTTGTCACTTTTAAGTGCAAAGTGCACTTGTGTTTTTCTGGACAACACCTCTCCTAAGCTCAAAGAGACCTACCTACATGAGAACACAGCTGTGTGTAGGTACAGGATGCTAAGTCCTGCTCAGATGCTATAAATAAATGCTAAAAAGTAAATACAGGAATAAGAAAGAAGAAAACTATGATTTTATATATTTTGCTTTTGTTTGGCTGTATGTGTGTAGATACCAACCTAAACTAAACAGAAATGCAATGTAATTCAGTGCAATGAGGGAGACATACTCTTAACTGTTGCACGTTAATTTCTGCAACTGGATTCATGCTTGCGTCTGCTGCTTGTCTACTACCTTCTCAAGCCTCTCACTCCACTTTCCTTTGCCCTCCTCAAGCATCACAGCTGATTGTGGTTCTTTTCCTGGTGGGAGGACATAAATCTTCATTTTAGGAAAGGGGTTGAGAAAGGGTCTCCCTTTACAGCTCAGACTGACCTGGAGCTCACTAGGCTGGCCTTGAACTTGGGGTGATCCTCTTCCCTCAGCCTTCCAAAAGCTGGGATTGCAGGTGTAGCCTCCCAAGTGCAAGATTTAACCACATCCAGTTATATCTTCATTCTTTTAGAGACAGATAACTTTTCTCAAAGACACTTTTCCTACCAAAGGTATTCAAAGTAAAAGACTGTTTTTGATATAGAAGAAATATAACTTCTAGCCTATGGGATGCCAAGTGCACCGAGTTTGTGGTCTCACACACCATGGGGGGATGAAGTTGAGAACCAAAAGTGGAAGTTAGAAGTTTTATTGGAAATAGGAGAAAGAAGGATTTCCATGAGAGGACCCCAGTGGGTGGCCTCTTGTCAGGGGTAATTCATACAGCAAAATCACAGCAGGGGTACGACGACGTGGGTCAGACTACAATCAACCTAGCCTGATGAGTCAAGCTGCTTAGCTAACAGTGATCAGAAAGGGAAATGAGTCATGAAGCAAAGGTACATGGGGAAAAACAAAAGCATCTGGGGGAAGAGAAGGGAGTGTGTGTTCTGATGTTCTGGTCGCCCAGCCTGAGGCAGCCCTGAGGCCTGCCTGAGCCCACTGGACCCGGTGGAGCTAATTACAATACACTGTCCAATTGCTGCTTCCATCTAGGGAGGCACAGACCTTGCTATTGCTTTTCCATCCCAAGTCTTCATTCTCTTTAGATTTGCATCCAGCCACAGTTCTGATGTCCTTGTTTTTTGTGCTGTCCTCCTTGAGGGCCAACCCTTCTCTGACCATGTATTGCTATCTACCTTAGCTGCCTATACAGTTTTGTTCTATGATTCTGAAGACTGAATCCAGAGCCTGCCACATGCAAGACAGGTGCTCTACTGCTGACCACATCCCAAATCCTAAATTAAAGCGTTTATAGGAAATGTGTAGAAGACAAAACTATAAAAATCAAAATAGCTAATTTGACCACACATTTTACTTAGGAAAATGCTTTTTGTAACTTAACAAATCGTTATAAAAAACACCAGAAATTCATCCAAGCCCTTCTTCCTGATCCAAAAAGATTGTCAGCTGTCAACCTTCCAACAATTGCATTGGTGTCCTGAGAAGATGACCTGATTTGTATGTAAGTGAAATTCTCATCCTAGAACGAAAGAAAAAACAAACAAACAAAAAACCCAAACAAACAAACAAAAACCCAGAACCAGAACTAGATGGAAGGGGAAATAACAGACTAAAATATAAACAACAACAAAACATGTTTTGGTCCAAAGAATTAATCTTTTGCGTTTTTTGTTTTTGTTTTTTTGTTTTTTGTTTTTTTTGGTTTTTTTTTTTTTTTTTTTTTGGTCTGTTTTATTTGTGGGAGAGAATAAAGATGAGGGAGCCTTGCAACTGTTGCAACAGTAGCATGTAACTGCTGTTCCACACACATGAAAACGTTCGCAGGGCTATGTCACTGAAACGATAAGTAATGCTTGGCATCAGTATCTAATGGTGTGGGAGAAACCGATTCCCTCCTTTACTAAGCTTTGATATGTTAGATGTATAAGTTGTAGGACATTTGCAAGAAATATTGATGATTGAAGCATTAAAGCACTTTTCTTGTAGTTCAACCAGTGGACAGGGTTCTTTGTTCACTTTTGCCTGAAGAGATGAAGCTGAAAAGAAGCAGGAACACGGAGGAAGGTGCTGCATCTGGGAGTCATTTTGCTATTTTGAAAGTGAGGCGCTAAGGCATATAATCTTGCTCTTCTCACAGAGGTTACTTCCTTTGCTTAGGATTTACTATAACTGTTTGAAGGACAGGAGTAATACCACGGAAATTTGGTTTTCTTGCGAAGGAGTGAAGTGAAATACGGTCTGAGTCACAAGCACCCCTGAACTCCACGAGCACGTCAGCCTGCACACTGACTGACCTGGCAAGCTTTGGCTGTGTGTGCAGAGACCCCAGATGCACCAGCTTTGGCCAGCATGACCTCAGATTCCACGTACATACAGCAACAAGCCGTGCATTTGTTCTTGCACCTCTTCCTAAGCCACAACACAGTCGTTTCTCTGGTCAATGTCCAATTCCTAGGGCAATGCCTCATGTCTCTGAGGGTCCCGCTTGGTGACGTGGAGCACAGCAGCAAATTTCCTGTCATCATCTCATGCCAACCTGTACCTCAACAGTCAACCATCAGACGAAACTCAGCATCTCAAAGAGAGCAGTGTGCTGTGCTGACTGACCAGGTCCCCGCTAGCACCTGTGGCTACCCCTGCTGTTGCACTTCCCTTGTCAACATCCCTCTGCACCCCCAAACTGGATTTTACAATCATCCTCGATAAACAACCATCCTCACAACAGAACAGACTGTTTTCAGGTGTAAAAAACCCCACCACAATGTTTAGGAAATGGTGCTTCAAAATGTAGATACTCCAAAATCTCAGCCCTAGGACTGCATGAACACAGTGTTTCTGCCCGGTTTCGAACCGGGGACCTTTCGCGTGTGAGGCGAATGTGATAACCACTACACTACAGAAACAGATGTACCACTGCTCCCTGAAAACTGTGGGTGGTATCATTGAACATCTCACTTGTGAACCTCCCACTGTCAGTTTCCCAGCACAGAAAGCTCCATGGGCCGATGACTGGGACCGATGTGCATGATGGATGCCGAGCCCAGGTGAGGATAGGGGTCTCTCATACACAGTGATGACAGTGGTCCTTTACCACCCCGAATCTACAATTCTGTCCTATAAGAATACTAGGTAAACCCAGGAGGTCTGCATAAATACAGACTTTGTGTAATGGTGTGTGTGTGTGTGTGTGTGTGTGTGTGTGTGTGTGTACTGCTGGGAGGGATGCACCATCCTAAAGTAAACTGCCAAGTGGAAGGAACGTGTGCTCGGAATATATGGAAGTGTTCCATGCTCCCTCCTGAGCTGTGTGATAAATGTAAATGTATGCTATGTAAAAAGGTTAAAGGAAACTGTCACGAAATAGAGAGTGGACAAAACACAGGAACAAAGTCTTTTTTTCTTTAAGTACCAGGATTCAAACTCTGGACCTTGAGCTTGCCAGGCAGGTACTTATGCCACTGAACTATATCTCCAGGGCAAAGATTTTAAACAAAGAAGATTTTCATGGTTGAAGGTAGCAAATGACTCTCCACAACATTGCTGACTCAAAAAACACTACATAAATACTGTGATAAACTATTGCACATCTGTCAAGATGTGGGAATGTTTAAGAGACCCTGGAAAGCCTCTGACTGGCATGAATTTGAACAACTGTGCATCCTGTTCCTGCTTGCAGAGCAAAGAAGTACATCTGTTCTGGAAAATGGTCCAGCAGCCTCCTGGGAAGTTTGAAGTACACCTGCTCCATGACACATTAATTCCGTGTCTAAGTCTATGATCAGAAATTTTTAAAAAATGAATGCAGAAGGCCACAAAAAGACCATAGGAGGCTCCTCAGCACCCTCTTATACTGAGTGGCTACTGGTTCCATCCAGTTCTCCACCATCAG